GCAACTCCAAGGTGCTTCTTCTCAATTACTTCTACGGATACTCATTTTCGCTTGAAGGCTGCTTTGTTTTTCTTCTATCCACCCGCCTCCTCTGCCTCACCCGATCCTCTCATGCGCTCTGGAGGGTAATTGCGATAACAATGAGGAAACTAGGTGCTACTGCATCGGACACATACAACAGGAAGTGTGATTCGGTAGAACTGACCAAAAGTCTCTACTTAGGAAATAGGCGCAGTACTCTGAAGATGCCACCAACGAAAGGCAAAAGCACACCAAAACGATATAGACAGAATCCAGCTAACCTTAATTTGTAGGTCCTGAAGAGCCTGTTTTGTCTTGCTGTTCGTCGTCTCTAACTCAGTGTTCTGCTTTCTTAGACGATCCACTTCGGCCGTCAGCTGTGCAGACGGTTTCTCCATAGCAGATGACATACCAGGACCGCTCTGAAAGAAATCCAGTAAACGGGATTTGCAAGTAAATTTTTGTCCTCTTCTTATGCTTACGGAAATAAAAACTTATGCGGGGTTATCAAATAAATACGCCGATCTTCGTGAAAAATTGGATCGGTGATAGAAACTGCATTTGAATGCAGGTTACCGTTACATATTAATTTGGTGAGTAAAGTCCAAAGTGGAAAAGCGCACCGTTTACTTAGCCTTCAGCGAAGTGTGATTGCTGGCTTGATAAAAAGGGCCCGAGCGATATCTTCCATACCCTCAACTAAAGACAAGTTTGAGCACCTGAATCACTCCTGAGACAAAGGGATGTTTCCAAAGGTTCTTTGATGTAAATTGGGCATCTTATATTAAGGGCCGGGGTAGACGCTATTTTATAGTCTTTAGATGAAGAAGCCATGATTCATACTTTAATTTTATGATACAAGCACATAATTTGTATTCTAACCCGTATGCCAAAGAGCTAAATCCCCAACACGCCTCTGCCTTCTTGACCTTGACAGCGAGCACACCCTCAAAACGGGTACACATTTCAGTCTTACTGTTCTACTAGGTTTTGTCCTTTTCAAACATCCCTTCACACTGGAAAGTTCAAAGGTTCTGTCAAAAATGATTTCTTCTAGTAATAGTAATTCATTTGATCCAATTGTGAAAAACGCAGCGGCCTCGGTGGGATTCGAAACCACGTCAGTAAGAGGAAGGCTTTAGCACAGTTAATGTTTTAGCCAACTGAGCTGTCGAGGCATCCACTGAGAGCCATGAGTTTACTCACACTTGGGACAAGCTACCCCCCTCCCCCTCCCTCAGCCTATTGCAACGTAGGGAATCCGTCAATTCTGATAAATTCTGCAAATATTCCCATGTCTAAG